CAAAATTACGATTAACTGAATGAGCAAAAAGTGCTATTTCTCAAACGAAAGAGACTTGACATGCGAGACTATCAAATACCTGCACTGATGCAACTGAGAGTTATTTCTTACCCTTTTACCTGTCTTCAGCTTACAACTACTTCGTTTAGAGTAGCAAATCTTTAAAGGAATTGTTGCACGGTTCGGCGCATGAGCAAACTATGACGGGAGCATAAAGTACCTTTCTCGCTTTCTTACTGAACCACACGTAGTTCAGCAATCTCAGACTCCAGTCTGTGAGAGCAGAGTGACGAGGTCTAGATTTTCCGAAAGATATTAACGGATTTACACAGGAAAGGTCGAATAATTATTAGTTATTAACATTGAATTTATTACTCAGGCCGAAAGATTTATCTGGACAAATGCACGAGTTATTTCGTCACATCCGACTGGACCATAAATTATGTAATTGAGTGGAGCATAGAAGTCGGAATATACAAAACGAATTCTGACGAGAAATATCATCTCTATGATCCTGTATGATCCTCTATCGTCAAGCTTTCCTGACTGACCGCAACAATTTCCCTCAAGAGTCATCGTCATTTTTTCATAATAAAAACAATGGAATCAAATAGGCTAAGGTCATACCTTGCTCATGCGCCGAGCCGCGAAAGCATCTTTTTAATGAAGGCTTTGTGGACTGACTTCTGCACTTGCATCTTAACGTTTAACAATTTACATATTAATGGCGATTTTTACATTAACCAAGCTTTTTCCGTTGTTTTTCTCAATAATGCAAAGGTGAAGATATTCCTTTTCAGTTTCGTTCATATGTAACATATCATGTGGTACAACGCATAACGATAACCCTCTTTCAGATGGTAGCCACCTGTAAAAACTTTACCCAGTTAAAACAACCTTATTATCAACAGCGTTCCTAAAACTTTTCCAGACAATGTCTTACGACCTCTACAAAGTATTTGTAATATTCTTCGTTACATGTTTAATCTGACACGCAGATGGCTTAATCAATCAAATCAAATACCGTTTATAAAATTTATGGGATTAATTAAATGAGCAAAAAGTGCTATTTCTCAAACGAAATAGACTTGACATGCGAAACTATCAAATAACTACCATGATGCGAGGGAGA